CCAAGCCCTGTCCTCAGGCCAGGCTGTGCCAGGGGCAGAGAGAGCTGCCCACCCTGGCCATGCCCTGGACCACCAGGTGGTGCTTGGTGCACACGGCCAGGGTGGGACCCCATGCTGTCACTCAGTGACTGTGGCCAGGTCATTTTACCTGAGTTCCCAGGGGCTTCATTCCAAAAAATAAGAACACTAAGGGCCACTCTGTCCCTAGACGGCAGCATAAGGGTTGGCGGGAGGATGCACTGAAAGCCAGTGCCTGGCAGAGTGGCAAGCAGAACTGCGTCCCCAACCTTCAATGTCCCAGTGGCCACTGCCCCAGCCAAGTGCCCACGGCCCCTTCTGTAAATGGGGGTGCAGCCCACCCACTGCCTTACAGGCTCCTCCCCACACTCCGGCCCTTGAGAAGACTCAAGGAGACACTGCTCCAGCCACACCCGCCATCGGCAAGGGCTGGAGGTTCTCCTGGGCACATTCACTGATTGCTACGTTAATTACTGGTTAATTAATTATTCCTCTCCTTCCCTCTGAGGCAACTGAGTCTGGCAGGCCCCTCAGGAGTTACCACAAAGACCCGGGGGCGAAGGGTCCAGCAGGCTCCTTCCCCAAACAGGGGCCAAGCCCTTCTTGGCCAGCACAGACCAGGACACATAAGGAAAGGACAGTTGGTGGCCGTGACAAGAGAGGGTTGAGCAACACCCTGTAAAGGATTGAGGATCTGGCCTGTCTTCTTTCCACCCTGAAGTTCTCTGATCCTCAACTCCCAGGGGGCAGGAGGGGGACCGCGACACTCTAGCCCAGAGGCCTGGGGAAGCCCCTCGAAGGGAGCAGGAGATGCTGGTCACATCCCCTGAGGCTGGCTCAGGGCTCCCGTTGGCACCCAGGGTCACGACCCTGCTGTGGCCTGCCCAGCCTGGCTGAAACCCAAGCCAGAGAGAGGGTCCCAGGCCAGCCAGTCCCGTCTTCGTGGGATTCCGCCGTGGTCTCAGCGAGCTTCCTGCTAGAGTCAGTAAAACGTGGCTGTCCTCTGTTCCTGGAAGACGGCCGAACAGGAGCCAGCCACTGGGGCTTTCCTGACCAGGCCAATCAGCGGGCCGCTGCGGCAGGGCCTCACCAGCTCCTTCCCTCCGCCTGAGTTCTCCCCACTCCTGAGCTGGGACCCGAGCCTCCTGGCCCCCGAGGACCAGACCCAGGGTTCAGCACAGTGCTGGGCACGCTGGGGGTGCCCAGTGGACATGAGTGGACATGTCCCCTAGAGGAAATGGGGGGTGCCTGGTGACTGAGGGACCAAATCTAGAACCGAAGGAGGACTGCAAAGATCACTTCCTCAGGGTCTCTAGGGATCCCCAAAGAAACACATGTGGGGTGTGTGTGTGTGTGTGTGTATGTGTGTGTATGTGTGTGTGTGTGTGTGTGTGTGTGTGACTGTGAATGGGTGCCTCTGTGATAATGGGCACCACCAGCTATGTGTGGGCTCTCCCTGCTGTGACTCTATGAGTGTGCCCACCAGAGAGAGCTGGAGCCTGTGTGTGGTGTTCGTGGTATGTGTGTGTGGTGTGTGGTGTATGTGGTGTGTGTGATGTGTGGTGTATGTGGTATGTGTGGGTGTGGTGTGTGTGGTGTGTGTGTGGTGTGTGTGGGTATGGTGTGGTGTGTGTGGTGTGTGGTGTGTGGTGTGTGTGGAGGTGTGGGGTGTGTGTGGGTGTGGTGTGGTGTGTGTGGCCTGTGTGTGGCGTGTATGTGGTGTGTGTGGGTGTGTGGTGTGTGTGGTGTGGCGTTGTAGTGTGTGTGGTATGTGTGATGTGTGGTGTGTGTGGTGTGGTGTGTGGTGTGTGTGGTGTGTGTGGTGTGTGTGGTGTGTGTGGGTGTGGTGTGTGGTGTGTGTGTGTGTGTGAGTGTGGTGTGTGTGGTGTGTAGTGTGGTGGGTGTGGTGTGTGTGGTGTGTGAGTGTAGTGTGTGTGGTGTGTAGTGTGGTGTGGTGTGTGTGGTGTGATGTGTGGTGTGTGTGGTTGCGATGTGTGGCGTGTGGTATGTGGTGTGTGTGGTGTGTGTGGTGTGCATGGTGTGAGTGGGTGTGGTGTGTGGTATGTGGTGTGTGTGGGGTGTGTGGATGTGGTGTGGTATGTGTGGTGTGTGGTGTGTGTGGTGTGTGGTGTGTGTGGTGTGTGTGATGTGTGGTGGTGGTGTGTGTGTGTGGTGTGTGTGTGTGTGTGTGTGTGTGTGTGTGTGTGTGTGTGTGACACCCTGGCCATCCTGTGATCCGCTTCCCACCTCCCCAGCCTTGAGTCATCCTCAGCACGGTCCTGTGACTTTTCACCCAGGCATTCGGTAGCTGCCTGTAGTGTCCTGCCTGCACCCTGGTGGCCCCCCAGCCTCTGCGTTCTCACCTCCCTCCGCCCCCCACTCCTCCGTTGAGTGAACACTTGTTAAATCATTACATGGGCTAAACTTTGGTTTTGTGGGTTTTCCTCTTTTCCGCAAAGGATCAAGATTCACATTTCCTGTCTGCCCAAGCCCCTCCCCCGGGCGCCCTGTTAGGGGTTCTGGTTGTCACACCACCGTTTGCTACAGAAACTCAGGTGGCCTTAGTCTGTTTTGTGTTGCAAGACACCTGAGGCTGGGCTCGTTGGCTGAACAGAGGTTGACTGGCTCACAGCTACGGAGGCCCAAGGCCGTGGTGCCAGCCTCTGCCTGGCTCTGGTGAGGCCTCCTGGCCGATGGAGCCCTGTGCACGAGTGGCCGAGTGGCCATTGGCATCTGCAGAGGAGGGACCCAGGGAGTTCCCAGGGGCACTTACACACCCATTCCTGCAGGACCTAGTCCAGTCCCACGAGACCCGCCCACTCGGTGAGACCCTGGGAACAGACAGGCCCCAGTCACCTCCCTCTCTGCCCCACCCCTTGGCAGTCCCACCCCCCAACACCACATGCTGGAGGCCAAGTTTCCAGCACAGGAACCTTTGGGGACAAAGCTTACCCAGGCCATAGCAGCAGGGTGACAGCACCCACCCCACAGAGTCCTAAAGTCCTCAGGACATGGCCCTCAGGAGGTCCTCCTAAGGTGACTGCCTCACAGGAGTAGGGCAGCCCTGGGGCCACTCACTGTTGGCCTCAACAGGCCACTCGACCTGCCTGAGGACAGTGGGCCTCCTTAGCCGTCCCCCAAACCCAGCGCCCACGTCCTGTTGCAGGTGGACATCAAGACCCAGCTGAGCTCTGTGTCACCCGATGTGGCAGGCGGTGCCCAGCCCTGGTGGCTGCATCAGCCTGGACCCGTTCCTGTTGCCTGGGCGCCGTGGTCCTGGCCACGCTCTGGAGTGCCCTTAACAGTGACTCGGAGTCAGACTTCAACCACCGACTTGACTTTCTACCTGAGTTATGGTTCTTTTTATCTTTTCTAAGAAAAGCTCACCAAATGTCCAGCCTTATGATTTCTCCAAAACACATCTGCCCTTACAAAGTGCACAGGCGTCGTGACGCCCGCCCAGAGTTCTCCTCGGTGGCGGCTGGGCCTGCGGGGGTCCTGGCACCAGGCCCTTACCACGGAGCATCTCTGGTCTCCTCGCGGTGGCGTCTCTGTCTGCCTGGCCAAGCACCAGGAGAGAGCCACTTATTTTTTTTTTCCCTGCCCTGGCACATTATCCAGGGGGGCTGTGGATCTGCCCACTGAGCAGGGGTGAGATGGGGGCCTCTTGTTTGGGATGCTTGGGGGAGGGATTGAGAGAGATTAGGGGGCCCCGAATCTCTGTCCCCCGAGCCACGCTTGTCTGCCGCCGCCTTCCATACCCTTGTGTCCCAGAGTCTCCAGTCAGGGCCAAGTCTCCCCACCAGGGGCAAGACAGTCACTGTCCAGCAGCTGAGGCCCAGGACTAGAGTGTCCACCCCGGTCACCAGGCCTGGACCCAGGGACCCTTAGCAGGAAGCCAGTGCTTCAGGGGGCATGAGCCAGCCCTGGGCTGGGCCGGGAGCCTGGGCTCTTCTCGGCCCTTAACTGGCCCTGACCTCTCCACTCCACAGCCTGGAAAGCGGTGCATGGATCAGAGGTTCTCAAACCAGGGCCTGAGGGTCCTCGGGTTTCTGGGCTGCCCGCCCCCTCTGCTCCCATCCCCCTCATCCCCTAAACCCTGGGATCCTGGCTAAGACCCGGCTAAATGAGGAGAGGAGCCGGGGCACACACCGAGAGCTCTGGGCGAGCAGGCCTGGGCAGGACAGTTCACCCGGACCAGCCTCAGTTTGCCCCCGTAATCTGGAAACCATGCGAGAGCACGTCCCTGTCAGACCTCTTCAGGAGCAGGTGGCCCTCTGCATCACACATCTGTGAAGCCAAGCACAGTCTCCAACAACGCTCAGGAATGATAAGGACCTGAGATCCTGCACCCACCGAGCTGCGCGGAGTCCGCGGCAGACACTGGGCTGTTCTGTGTAAAGAACTCCAGCGCCTGCAGATTTGGGGACCCGAGGGGTCCTGGAGCCACTCCCCTGGGGACACAAGGGACTCCTCCGGACAAGGCTGCGTATTCCGAGCACTTAGTATCGTACTGGGCACGTGATCCCGGGAACGTGATCCAGCACTGTGACTACTGAAAGGACCTGCCACACGTTGTTGACCCAGGCCACCAACAGGGTTTGGCACGGTGTCCCCGATCGAGTGAGTCCTAGCACCCCTGGGTCCTTGGCTCCAGGCCTGCGATCCACCCTGATGAACGAGGAGTTGGTCCCACCCCATCACCCACCAGCTGGGTGACCTTGGGTAAGTCATCTCTCCTCTCCAGGGCTGTGGGAACACGGTGTTATGACAGCCTGGGGGTGTGCAGGGACTAGAACAGCACCCAACACCCAAGAAACGACCAACATGTGCTGTCACTGAGTCTAGCTGGGGGGAGCACTTGGGGTGATTTCAATCATGTTGGGGGGTGGGTGCCCTCTAGTGGTGGAGCCCCGCCGGGTGGGTGCCACCGCCTTCAGCCTCGGGGGAGGAGGTAGCCAAGGGAGGACAGTGGACTTAGATCTTGGAGGGGGATCTTATTGGGACTGTGGGTGAGTTCCAATGCTAGGTCACCAGAGCTGAGCCCAGGACCAGTGATCCGTACACAGGTTTGGCCAGAAGGGCAGAATGGAAAGTTCTGGCTTAGGTTCCAATGAACTCCGCAAAGAAGGAATGGGCAGAGCCCACCAATGAGCTGAGAGGCAAGCGTGAGGACCCCGGGAAGGTCCCACTCTCTCATCTTCCACTGGGAGACACACCTCTCCTCCATCCTCCTGTTCCACTCACAGATGAGAAAGCTGAGGCCCAGAGAGTGAAGGGACTCTCCTGAGGTCACACAGCACATCCAGGGCAGAACACAGGCCAGACAGGTCCAGTGTGCTCTGCCTCATGCTGCCAAGTCAGCCCGGCCCAGCCAGGCAATGAGAAGCAGAGGACATTTCATTGAATCATAGAGGGAAGTTTCGAAGAAGGGAAAAGCATCAGGCGGAGTTCCCAGGGCTGGAGCCGTGCCCAGCCAGTCCCAGGGCTCAGGGAGGGTGGGAATGACGCAGCCTGGGCCCGTGGAGGTCTCAGGAGCACCATTCGCCGGGAATATGCAGGCAGCGTCAGCCAGGAGGGTTGCAGAGGCGCCGGGAAGGACGGCCCAGCCCCGGCCCAGGCTGACTCCAAGGGGCTCTGTGCGTGGGCAGAGTGTGCTTGGGATCTCCTTGTCTCACAGTCCACACACGCACGTGCACACGCATACGCACACCCACAGAAGCAGGCAAGGAGCCGCGCAGAGCTCTTGAGTGGAGACAGAAGCCCCGACAGCAAGGAAGGGGTCAGCTTAGAGCAGAGAAATCCCCAGAGACCCATGAGAGGGGCGGCCAGGAGCAGCGGTCCAGGCCCAGCTGTGGGCTGAGGCCCCGGTCAAGGCCATGGACACGATCAGTTCTCTTCTCCACTCAGAAAGGCGGCTTTCTCCTCAACCTGGGGGGCCGATCCTGCTGTGTTGTGATTTCAGCTCAGCTGAGATTCGCCTCCCCTTTGTTCGTCACCCAACCTACAGAGGAGAAAGCTGAGACTCAGAGACAGAAAGGGGCTGCAGAGCCATTTCTACCCAGCACAACTCTCCATCCCTCCGTTTGATTTATCCTCCCCCTCCTCTTCCTCC